ACCGGTCGAGGCAGAAGGCCACCCACCAAGCGCTCTCTGATCTCTGATTTCTGACAGATGACTTCTTTAAAGTGTTGACACAACAAAATCCAACAAGATTTCAGCATATTTACCTACATAGGTTAAACAAATCAGGGTGCTCCACTCTCAAGCTCAGTCCAACGTAAAGAAAGAAGGGACCACAATGCTTTTGGGTCAAGCTTTGGCGGAACTCATTCCATACTGGCACCTAGTGGCCAAGGTACTAGGTGACATTAAACTCCAGCCCACTGTAGGATAACGTCACCAACATTGAACGTGTTACATTAACAGGAAAAGCATAAACACTGAATGACAACTTGAATGTTGAAAACCTTTAGGGGACCTTTCACCATCAGTGGAAAACAATTTAGTTATTTATTTATCTCCCCTTAGTACATGTTTACCACCTGGCTACAAGTAGATAGAAAATACTAATATTTTTTGTATACTCTGTGTTAATACCCTCTGTAAAATGGTGGATCTCATTTTCCATGGGTTTCCTTCCAATATTTGTGTGTACAGAAAGTAAAAGTGGGGCTGTGTGAAAGAATTCAACTGGTCTCTGCCTTCTCTTCATCACCGTGGCCTTGTCTCCTTGTCCTCTCTCCCCCACAGCTGCGGTACAGGTTCTGTATCCAACCTGCTTGTTCAGTGCATTCTAGCTCAGCATCTGAACATTCAGGATGACCAGTTATTCAGTCAGCATCTCGGGAGACCTGCTCAAATTATTTTGAAATTGTGTAGTGGCGCTGACTAGTGGTCACACACTTGTCTCTTGCAAAGACGTATACCTCCAAACGTTCCATGCCTGTCTCAGGTTTACCTGTTGGCTAAACATGCAAAAGTATTTTAAATACAAATCTTTATTTATTCAATTCATAGTGAATTGTCAAAGCCTAACATAGGCCTATACATTATATAAACAAGATATCAGATTCTGGGGGGCAATTCAGAAAAACTTAAAGTCGGATATAGACAATCATAGCTCCTGAGGGGTCACGTGGTCACGTAACGACTGATCAGTAATGTTGCAAATCTATAAGACTTTTTTGTCTGTGTTGAACAGACATTTGATTTATACTCATCCTCAAAGTGTCAAACAAGCACCAGCAAACAAACAAGGATAGTGATTTTTCATTCATGTGTTTATTAATCTTTATGCAAACTAAGCTCATGTCGCAGTTTCTGTCGTCTTCATCTTCAGTTTACCGGTATTTCTCAGACAGAGCAAGAGCCACCGCCGCCAGGAACTTGTCCAGAGCCACATGGACCTCAGGGGTGAAGTCTTTGGGGAACATGATGGCCAAGACCACAAGAATGTTGTGGGAGAGAACCTGTGAAAAGGGTTAATCACACACGTTACACATATTAATTGCGGCAATGACAATGACAAACAGAGACTAAAGTCATGAAATTCACACAAATGTCAGGCTTTTGCTCTGCACCTTGAAGTTGGCAGGGTCCACTCTGAGGGTGAAGGCATGCAGCTCGCTGAGGGACAGGAGACCTGCAGTCAGGTCGTCGATTTTGGCCACAGCGGTAGCGATTCCCGTCATGATGGTTTTCCCGTGCTTCTTCACCTGGGCAGAGCCGGGGCTCAGGTCCTTCCAGTGGGAGAAGTAAGTCTTGGTCTGCGGGTACACCACCAGCATCCTGCGTAAGACGCGCACAACAAAGTGCCAGTAAATGAATCACTGTCGGAGCACGTTACAGCAGTAGGCAGCATGTTCTCATATTTACCTGGCCAGAGCATCCGCGCCGATGTCCCCCTCCTTGCCAGACACTTTAGCCCAGAAGGCCCTGACTGTGTCCTTGTCCTTGGCACTGAGACTGGTCATCTTGCCTTTGTTTGACTACTGGTTGAATACCATCATCCGCGTGAACGAGGGGGTTTTATGCTTGAAACAGAGCGCGGCCACACCCGAGACCACCTCCAAGATAGGCTCCATAAGGCGGTGCCATGATGGGTGGCAGCTTGCATGAGATAAAGATCTCCGGTGACTCTGGACTACACCTCTAATTATCACTGTCAGCAGTTCTAAAGACTGCAGACAAAATATGGAACCACTAGATTTTTAAAATGTGTTTCAGATGTAGCTTCGGTGTCGCATCAAAACGGAACCTTTCAGTTAATCACTACCTCGAAATGACTTCGAAATGACTGAAGTCTCACTGTACCACTTGGCGGAGACCAAGCCAGTTACAAGTACATTTAAAATCTAGACTTTGCAAACAAATAGATTTATTTATCAATCGGAAACCGTCCATTGAAATTGGTAAAGTCGTTTTTTGAGTTTCTTGCCAGTCCATATTTCCAAGTCTTATTTTACCCAAGCTGTAAGGGTGGGTCCACTTATGAGATGGAACAGATATAGATTTTCTACCCAGTGTGTAGTTCAGCTGATGTCTAGTGTTATAAACTGCTATTTTACATAAGTGGAAACACTCATTGTGGTATATTCACACAGAATAGACGTGAATAAAATCTTACCAATTGAACTGGCCCCTATTTATAACTTAATGTGCAGATGTAGCCCAGAGTTAAAACTATTTTCTTTCTCTGCAGATAATTTGGCATTACACGCGCAATGAACAAATTCGAATCATATTAGGCCACTTCATTTACTAATCGGGTGAGATAAGAGCTGCTGCGAAAAAACCGACGGAGTAACACTTAGAGACACAGACCAGGCAGAAAACACAGACGCTGAATGAACAGGACGTTGAACAGGCCTGCCTGGCTACATTCCAGCTGCAGTGACTTTTTGCCTTTGTAGAATTAAACATAGCCACTTTACTTCTGATTGGTGTAACATCGTTAACAGCGTCGTTATGGTGCACAGTGCAGCCATTGCTCACTGGTTGTCATCTTACGCACTCCTCCCAAAGATAATCAGCTGTCTGAGGAAACAGCTGGTGCTGTGACAGCCTTTTCTGTTTAGAGATAGAGACCACTGCAGTTACTGCTTTGTTTTATAGAAATGATCCTGGCTGTTCATTGTCAGTAAAAATAGATCAAATTAACCTTCTGATGCGCAAGACGAGTCAAAAGTGACCAGAGTGAATGATTTAGTTTATCTTTGGATGTGATGCATGTTATCACTCAATATTTAACGAAGACCTGAACCCGGTTGTTTTTTTTTTTACATTAGAAACCATTTTTATTTTATTTTTAATAAAAATTAACATTTTGTGCCAGTTAATGTGCAAGACGGGTCATTTTGTTTTTCATTTAGTTACAGTATGTATTCTTAATGGAATTTAATAGGAAACTTTAATTTGCCTATATATTTGTAATTAAGAACTCGATTTATTGTGGTTTATTCCTCTCAGAGTCACAGCTTATGAGAGACTTAATACATTTAAGGGTTAGTGTGTTCAGTGCATGTCTGCCAAGAAGGGCAGCTACAGTAAAAAACAAAGAGTTTATCTTAAACACTTTCAATAACACATAGTCTAGCTATTATAAGAAGTGCATCAACATAGAAGCTCCGATGTTAGTGAATTACAATGCACTTAAACGAAATTCACTGTATGGGCCTATATATATTTTTAATTTAGCGACAACAAAACAATTTAATCTTCAGCAACATGGACACTAGACGTCAAGAAGCTCCTAGCAGCCTTGCATGATCAGATGCTTTTGAGGAGCTTTTGGCCACTGTGTTTTCGAGACAGATTTTAGTGCTGCCTCTCTGGGTTCATTTAGATGCACCACAACACTATATATTGAGACATTCGGTTTGGGGGCAGTACTAGATGAACTAAATGAAAACAACGACGTGGTAAAGTATGGATTTTCAGTGAGGATGGATAAACAGAATGGGACTGTTATGCCCTTTTAGGCATAGTCTTAAAGATGACTTTTTTAACAGTGTAGAACGACAACAGACTACTCGTAGCACTGGTCACCTAGTAGGCTATGAATTTAAGCATTCTTAGATGAAAGCTGAGTTACCCTCCTTCACAATGTTTGAAATCAAATGTACCAGAAGCAAAGCGAACGCAGAGATAGAAACACTGCCATAGTCCTATGCTCATCACCATCCATGACAGCTACCTTGAAGTTGGCAGGGTCCACTCTGAGGGTGAAGGCATGCAGCTCGCTGAGGGACAGGAGACCTGCATCCAGGTCGTCGACATTGGCCACAGCGGTAGCGATTCCCGTCATGATGGTTTTCCCGTGCTTCTTCACCTGGGCAGAGCCGGGGCTCAGGTCCTTCCAGTGGGAGAAGTAAGTCTTGGTCTGCGGGTACACCACCAGCATCCTAGGTCATAAAACGTGGGTAAGTGAGCAGGACGTAGAACATATATGGGCAATATTATAAAGTAGCATGTATTTTAGAAGGAGATTACTTTGGTCATATTTACCTGGACAGAGCATCAGCGCCGATGGCATCTGCCTGGCCGGACACTTTAGCCCAGAAGGCCTTAACTATCGCCTTGTCAGTAGCATTGAGACTCATCTTGACTACTGATTGTTTTGACGTTAACAAGGGGGATTTATATATGAAACTGCATGGGTACACCCGGGCACACCCTACACTGTAAACAATTGTCCTGTAAATAAACAGTAAAATACTGGCAGCAGGGTTGCCAGTAATCTACTGTTTTTTCTACAGTTCACCTTGTTATCTATTTTACAGTATACTACAGTAATAATGTTATGTACTGAATTACAGTAGATTTCTGTATATTCTTGATTTTACAGTAAAATACTGGCAGCAGGGTTGCCAGTAGTTTACCGTTTTTCCTACAGTATTACTGTTATAATACCATATACTAAAACACAGTATCATGTTGTATTTTACTGAAATTACAGCATACTATGGTATAACCACAATATTTGTTTTTATATTAACAATGGAATTTCACCATAATCCAAATACAGTACCATGTAGTCATTTCTGTAAATAGAGCATATTAGTGGCAGCACTGATGACAGCCAATTTCTATGAATTAAGCACTGCCTTTACTGTAACCTTGATTACCAATTTTACTGATATTCTCTACAATATATAATAATGATTTTAACTAACATGCAGCAATAAAAACTTAAATGGAAAGAAGAGATTTAGAAAATACAAAAGTCAGTTATGTAACATTTATTTTGCAGCATCAACTGAAAACTAATTTGTAAATACATTAAAAATTCTTTACAGTTGTAAATTATAAGTATGCACAACACAACAGTAATCATCTTTTTTAAATAAACTTGACGGAATTATGCAACATGCCACTGCATAATTTGTCAGTGGCACTAAAAAATAACTTCAATAATCAATCCATTATCTATACTGCTTAGTCCCAAACAGGGTCACGGGGAAGTCCAATCCATCCATCCATCCATTATCTATACTGCTTAGTCCCAAACAGGGTCGCGGGGAAGTCCAATCCTTAACCTAAAAGGAAAAAGATTTAGACTTGCTTAGAAAGAATGAACAATATGAAAAAGATTGTCTTTGTTTTTTCTTCTCTTTTCCTTCCTCTTTATTGTCTGTTCTTGTTTTCATTATCTAAATGGTATAAAATCTAGCCAGTCACACTTGAATTTATGAAAAAAGTTACTCAATCAGACAAATCACTATCATACAATAAATTTCAAGACACATCCTCCCTTCAGAATAAGACAATAGTCTTAGGTTAAATCTTAGTTGAACTTAAATGGTTATTTTAAAACAAAGAGATTACTCTGAGTTCTTTCAGATTAGATCTGATCAAGTGTCTGCCAATATTCTGCTGTTTTATACAAAGTGACCTTAAAAGGCAAAACTGAACATATGCAAGAACACTCCTGTCCTGGGTCAAGTGAACATATTCCCTTCTGGTTCACATAGTTTTTCTTCAGTCTTCTACAGCATATATACCCATATTTTTCAAGTGGTGAGTAGCATATTTAGTAGAAAACGTGTATATAATCTAGGACAAAAATTGGGAACTAACCATGGCTGTGTTGATGTGAACAGGGTAATGATCGCTTACTGGCCAATGAAATGCCATTCAAAGTCTGAGATTTTTCATAAGGGGGGGGGAGGGTTGACTGTGACAGACTTTTCTAAACAACCTTCCCCATCCTCTTGGACAC